TATGAATCTGCGCATTAAAGATGTTTTTAGATAAAATTCTGTGTCTGTCCCTCCACCCGAGCAGGCCAGAATACAACCGAGGAAAAATAGGTCAGGCTTAGCATTTGCTTGAGCATAAATTTATGATTTATTTCTAAAGCCCTTAATTTAATTTAGAAGAACGTCAAAAAGCCAAGGGCAAGCGCTTATCCATCTGCACCACTGGAACTGATGTTTTATAGCCACTTTTAACTAAATGTAAATAGATACCCCGTATTTTTCATTCCATAGTAACGGCAATTCATAAAATGCATTTAAACTGAGCTACTTTAATACCATCTCCGAACTTTCTACCACGACTCTGCTGTTCTTCGGCTGGTTCTTCCTGTATACGTTGATTGACAGATGTCTCGTCCAGTCAGCGGTGAGTAATCCCAAACCAATGGCGCTGTCTCAAACTATACCTACCTTTTCCGGTTTGTCTGATTTGTCGTTGTGTTTTCTGACTTGTTATTTTGTTTTCGAATTTGTCATTGAGTTTTCTGACTTGTTATAATGTTTTCTGAATTGTTGTTGTGTTTTCTGAATTGTTATTTTGTTTTTTAGATTTGCATTTGCGTTTGTAATTTGTTCTTTTGTTTTCAGAATTGTGATTTGTTCTGCACTTCTCGGCCACCATAGATATTACTGTATTTTTATTAAATAAATGCAGCCTTGGTAAGCATAAGAAACTTCTTTCAAAAACATTAAAAAAATCTTACCAACCCCAAAACTTTGAACGGTGGTGTAAGTGTACGATTTTTTTGCCATTTTTATTGCCCACCAGGTGAAAATTTTACGTCCAGTTGTTCTAAAAAAAAAAAGAAAAGTGGTTGCTATGGTGTTCCGATTTGTTTCTAAGTGAAACGTTAAAAAAGACCACCCTACAAGACTATAATATTGCCTAGATTTGAATCAATTCTTTCAAATCATTTTTTTGCCTGTTTTATCTTCCACCTGTGTGAAAATTGTAATTCTGACCCCTTAGGAAAGTACTTAAGTGCTTGCCTAAGTATGCATAACTAATAAGCTATAGACTGCATAAGTGATGAAATATTATTTTTAGAGCAAGCGAGAGAACACTTTAGAATAGTGTTTCATTATGCAATGCTGTTTGGAGGCACTTGACTCAAAGATTAGTTGTCCACAAGAGTGTATACTGTGGTAAATACTTGATTTCTATCTCTTCTCACCACAGTGGAAAAAATTAAGAACAGTTTCTTGTGCTGTTTGCCTATTTGGGTCACATCACCAGCTAAATTTAAGGCCAATTAGCTTTCGTACCAGCCTCTAAAGCCCCAGTTCTTATGTCTAATTTCTGCTGTGGCAGATCCAACTTACTTCTTTCCATGTGTGCAGTAGGGCTGGACTCCTGGAGGAAGTATTGAAGTGTGGTGTCTATGAATTAGGGCTGGAGAGACAGGCAGCGCTCCATGCTAAGTGTTACTCTCAGACAGGAGTTGTCACGGAGAGAAGGAGGAAGGGAAAGTGACAGCGTAAATCCCTCCACACTCCCCGTCTGTCTGCCTGCTGTGTGTGGGGGGAGGGTGGTGTGGCTGCTTTAACAAGAAATTCAGCACATCAACATGTCTTATTTTCCTTCACTATGTCTTTGTATCTTGAGTAAACTGTCGGATTTTGGGCTAGATGAAATGTCTGTCATTAGCAGCGCTTGCTAAATACTGTCGTTCATAATTAAGGGTTAGAGGTTTTTCAAAACGTCAAATCGTGGAGCTTCTGTTTTTAAGTGATTATATGTACGATTTTCACCAGGTGGATGATAAAAAGGGGGAAAAAACCTTCTATTCTTCTATTCTTATTTGCTAACTTTGTATTAAGCACAAACTCCATATTTAGGGCCTTGAACTTAGGGCTTGGGTAAGTAAACCCCCAAACACTACAGCAACCACTTAGAACACCCTAGCAACTACCCCAAATGCCATAGCAACCACATAGAAGCACACTAGCAACTACCACAAACACCTTAGTAACGCCCTAGCAACCTCCCAAAACACCCTACAAAGCATAGCAACTATCACAAATGTCTTAGCAACAGCATTGCAACAACCTAGAAACAAGCCCAACCACCTCAGCAATGCCCTAGCAACCACCCACAACACTCATTAGCATTGTAGACTCCATTTCTAATGCCTAGAAAATAATAGAAATGGCTATTATTACTTGGGACTTGGGTACGTAACCCCCCCCAGACACCTTAGCAACCATGTAACAACACCCTAGAAACCTCCCAGAACACCTTAGCAACCCGCTAACAACGAAATACTTTAGCAGTGCCCCAGCAACCACCTTAGAGCACAGAGCACCTTAGCATTGTGATCTATGACTTAGAAAATCAAAGAAATAGCTTTTCTGATTTGGGACCCAAGAAACGCCCTAGTAACTGTATGTTCTAACAGCTTGGGACTTGGGTAAGTAAACCCTCAAGACATCTTTGCAACTGCATAGCAACACCCTAGCAACATCGTATAAAATCTTAGCTATGTCCTAGCTACAGCCAGAACACTTTAACAATGCCCTAGCAACCATCTGGAACACCCTAGCAAAAGAAAAGCAACTACCCCAAATGCTTTAGTAACTGCATAGCAACACCCTAGCAACCACCCAGAGTACCCTAACATTGTTGCCCCTATGTCTAAGGCCTAGAAAATCATAGAAATGGCTCTTCTGACTTGGGAAAGTAAACCCAAGACACATCCTAGCAACTGCATAGCAATGCCCTAGCAACCACCAAGAATACCTTAGCGATGCCCTAGCAACTACCTCAATTGTATAACAGCACCCTTACAACCTTAGCAATGCTCTAGCAACCACCCAGAGCACCCTAGCATTGCGTTGGTGGGTTTTACATGAGCAAACTCAGTTTTCTCAATTTTCTAGTTGGATTTTTCTTAGCATCTGCTTTAATTTGTTTGATTTAACAAGATGTTTTCAAGAAGTGCACCAAATTTAGTGTATGTCATGTTTGAACAGCACTGTTCTTTAGCACTGTCATGAAGCGATATGTGAGCATGTAACATTCCATAGATTCCTTTTATAGTTTCCTTTTCCTCTTTTGCAGCAATACTTCACGCTACTCATCATTACTGACGGTGTGATCAGCGACATGGATGAGACACGTCATGCTATAGTTCAAGCCGCCAAACTGCCCATGTCCATCATTATCATCGGGGTGGGCAACGCCGACTTCACCGCCATGGAGTTTCTGGACGGAGACAGCAGCGCACTCAGATCCTACACGGGAGAGGAGGCGGTCCGAGACATCGTGCAATTTGTCCCATTCAGGGACTTTCGCAACGTGAGTGTTTCTCATCCTGATTTCCTCTCTTGATTCTACACTGCTTCAGTTATATAAGGGTGTTGTCATAGGGTGCATGATGTAATGCTTTTAAAATGGTAATTTCAGTGCCAGGTCAAAAAGTCTTTCCCGAGCAGCATTAAATTCTCAATATTATGCAGATGAATTGACCCAGAGGCTTCAGCTTACGAATATAATCAATATTTCTGTTGCCACAGACCTCTGGATAGTTTCTTGTTGTTCTGAAGTGAATCCAATCCTGGATCACGTATGTAAACAGAATCTTCAGTAGGAGTGTGAGTGGGCGGTCTGTGGGCCATGTGATTTCCTCAACAGCAGGAGGGAACGGGCAGCACTCCCTCATTTGGGCTCCATTCAGAGGAAATTAAAATTCATTTAGCTTAGAGAGAATATGGAAGGAACCGGTGCCAAATTTTACCGCCACACAAGCGAAGCTGTCTGCCATTTCTTCATTTTCATTACATGGAAGTGGATTTAACAATCTAACAAGTGGCCACTGCCAATATGTACTCAAATATGCATCCGCAATGATGTCGTTGCATGTGTTTGTTGCTCTCGCAGGCTCCGAAGGAAACTTTAGCCAAATCCATATTGGCAGAGCTGCCGCAACAGGTCACACAGTATTTCAAACAGAGGAACCTGTCGCCTAGCAACACAATGCCGGAATAAGCGCTGGAGGCCTGGAGTTCACACTGCATGTTGCCAAAACCTGCTGTTTACAGACCACCCTTGACCAATTCAATGGACAAAGTGCATGTTTTTTTTCTGTACAGAAGTGTTTTTAGTAAATGTTTTTATTTATTGGTTTATATATAGACAGTATATATGATGACTTATCAATCTAAAGGCAACAGCCATTTGTGTGTCTGCCACAAAACATGTAACAGTATTCGGCTGAATGTAACTTTATACTACTATTTTCTGTGTTTTAAAAGAAGTGAAAGCTAAAGAGTACTTCATGTAGTGATTTGTATTTAGTGATAATTGTGTGGTACCATGGTCAAGGTGGTTTTTTTAATAAAATCCAGTTTTGGAATAAAACAGCTTGATTCATATGGACTATATTTTCAATTTCTACAAACTGCATGAAAATGTTGCATAGTTGCAAAATATAATAATTTCGGTTTTGAAGATTATTGAAAGTCTTATGGTTTTAGAATGACATGAGAATGAATAAACAATGATAGAAATTTCATTTTTGGTTTTCCTACTAACCAGTAGCCAAATAGCAATTTAGGTTTTGTTTTATTGTTTTAGGTTACTGCAGCCATTTTAATATCTTAGTCAACACAATAAACAAATTAAACACTATTAATGCTGATTAACATAATTATTAAAAAATGTACATTCACAAATAAAACCATGCTAAATTTAAAAAGAATTTAGCACAAAGATGCTTTTGAGGGTCAAAATTAACCTTCAGCCTCAAAAAGCCTGCCAGCGTTTCAAGAGGGTAGTAATTTTACATAATTAACTACACAATTATTCAAGTCTGGCTCCATTCTCATATGGAAGTTTTTCATTTTTTTTCCTGACTGAATATTCAGTTTCACTCAGAAACTTGCATTACAGAACTATAATGGGTTGCAAATGCTGTTGTACATTGATAGGAAATGATAAAAGAAAGAAGAAGTACAAATTCATGAGAAACACCTTTATTTTCCATTCTGTCATCACTGGTTATTTTCCAGTGAACATGACTATCCTTATACGACATGAACATTCCAGCATTCAGCAGCATTTTGTCTTAAAAAATAAACGTCAAACAAACAAATGAAGAACTCGAGGCATTTAAACTTGAAAGAAGCCCATAATATCTGCTTTGTCCTGTGATGATGGTGTCTGAGATTTGGACTAAATGATTCATGTCTTCTTGATCCACAGCTGTCAGTCAGTCAGTGTCCCCTTGGCCACTAGAGCTCTGCAGAAACCGCAAGGGTGGGTAGATGGGAAGGTGCGTCACCAGGTTAAGCTGCCAGGGGTTTATACTGTATGGAACGTAATATGAGGAGGATGGGGGAAGTGTCATGTTTTGAGAGCACAAGACATCAACAACCACAATAGAAGTTAACATTACAGCCTTTAATAAACATCAAGCAAGTAACCAAATATATTTATCCAAAAGTGAAACACTGAAATAACGGATACCTAGTGTTAAATCGTTTTAGGTAGTGCACCGCTGAGAAGGCGAGGGGGCGGCACCCAAGCCTTGGGCAGCACAGGTGAGGGAGAGAGTGATAGTGAGTGAGTGTGATCTGTCAGTGTGTCTATCTGAAGAGCCTGTGGCGCTATATGGGAGAGCCAATCTTGTCCACGCTACCTTCGCTGTCGCTGCTGGACTCAGAGTCGCTGCTGCCCGAGTAAGCGCCGAGTCCTGGCAGGATGCCCACGCATACAGCGGCGGAGGGCAGGTGGAGGATGCCTGAGCGAGTCACGCCCGCGCCTGGGGATTTGGGCTCGAACGCCTCCTGATCTGAGAACACAAAACAATACATGCACATAGAGCGCACGCAGTCTCTGATGCATTTCACATCTAACACGGCAGGTTAATATGGAAAGGTGATGCAATTTCTCCTGATTTCTAACGGTAAATATTACACTACTTTTACATTTCATCTAGTTAGCTATAGGAATATGCCATGTTAAAATAGAATTTTACTTGTCAGTTGTAAAAACAAAAACTTGCAATGAATTTCTATGGGGAAACCATTGTACACTGCTGTTCAAAAGTGTGGGGTCAGTAAGACTTTATGAAAGCAGTCACTTATGCTCAATAATTCAAAATACAGTAAAAACTGTAATATTGTGAAATATTGTTACAATTTAAAATGACTTTTCTATTTTAATAAGTTATTATTGTGATGACAGCTGAATTTGCAGCAGTCATTATTCCAGTCTTCAGTGTCACATGATTCTTCAGAAATCATCCTTATATACTGATCTACACATTTCGTATTATTATTATCATTTTTGAAAGCAGTTATGCTGCTTAATATTTTTGTGGAAACTATCATACATTTCTCTCCAGGATTCTTTAATAAATTGAAATTTAAAAGAATATTGTAGATTTTTTTTGTTACAATGTAAAAGACTTTACTGTCACTTTTGATCAATTTAATGCATCCTTGCTGAATAAAAGTAATAATTTCTTTAAAATTACAGACCACAAACTAGTGTAGTGTACATATGGTGTTTTTTTACAGACTCCTAAAAACATTTTTAAAAATTAGTTTCACGCTGGGATTCTTATGAACACTTCCCCACCTTTTTATCAACTATAATATGATACATTTTAAAAGCAATTAAAACAGTATGGCAAATAATTACAGATCTAATAATGATCTGAAAATCACTTTACATAATTACATTATGTAAAGCCAGCATTATACTACATTGCTCACCTGTCTGACTGCCATTGCCGGCTACAGACTCCTCTGCTTTCTGCTTTTTACTCCCCTCTGAGGACTGAGACGAGCTATACAAAGACAAAAATGAATCACAAATAATTATACATGAAGATTTTTAGGCCTCATATTTCCATAGGTTTAAATACAGTATAATCATTTAAATGAACACATTGAGGTGAGTTTGTCCTTTTCGTACCTGCGTCGTTTGACTGCCCCAGCCAGCAGGTGGGCCTGAGACAGGTGACTGGTCCTGTTCTCGGAGGGTTTGGGTCCTGCCTTTTTCTCCGTCTCCTTCTTCTGGCTCTCATTGTTTGCCAGCATCTGCAGAGCACTGTGAGGTTCATCGGTTAAGGAGAAATCACTGACCTACAATTAAACCATGAGAAAACTTCTCAGCAACACATGACAACCTACTTTCTGGCACTGCTGTTGTGGTAAGCCACAAGACAAATTCAGTTTTTCTTTTTATTCTGAATCTTTCTCATAAACAAACTAACGTCTGGGAGGACATATATGACCTCAAACTTAAACAGCATGCAAACAGAACTAAACCCATTGAAAGAAGAGGAAGCTCAGATAAAGAGGGCAACCGCTCCTAAAAATCTAAGTCACCCTAGAAATCAAACCTACTTCCTTGCGCTCACAGATGGCCGAAAAAGGCGACACACTTACAGGTAAGGCAATTTGGTGCCTCCACAAGAGGCAAATTCAGTACAATTAGGGCACATTACTGTATTATGCTGCAGATCATGGCTTTCAGCAGTGCTTTTAGATGCAGTTATCAAGCCCTGAGAAAGGTTTCAGTTGCCACGACAACCCATCCTCCAACCTTCTATCTACAGCATAGTCTATGATCTACAGTCATACCTGATCGGCAGAAGAGAAAGGCCACTGCTGATTATGTCAGTGGTTCCATGATGAAAAATCTATTTTATGATATAGATCAAAGCACAGCTTTGTATGTATGTGTGTGTGTGTGTGTGTGTGTATGTGTGTGTGTGTGTATACACAAGACATACAATGATACTAATACAAAACATGATTCAATTCATCGAAGGATTCATAAGACTAATTCAATCAATCTTTTTGAACTATTCATTCAGAGAAAGAGCTCAAAAGAGTCGTTTGTTCGGGAAGCTTTTTTCCAGCCATTGAACGATAAAAACATTGATAGCCAATCAGAATACACCCGGATGTAAAGAGCTCGAGAATTGTTCTGTTCAGAGATAGAGAATAAAAACTTGTGATAATTGGAAAAACCATTTCACCTAGCATTCCAGCAGAACTAATTACATTAGATGAACGCTGACTCGTAAAGAACTTTAAGATCAAATAATGAACAATGCCTTTTCAAAGAGAAATACACATGCATCTAACTATTCATTTTAAATGTGAAGCACAATATAAATTAAATTCCAAGTCCACAGATATATAATAGATACAGCAGATAATTTTTGTCTAAGCAATGCTGACAGATTTGGTAAAAAAAAAAAAGGTAAACACTGCCCCCTCGTGCTGGATTTAAACGGTGAAAGCAATAGATCTCAGATACAAACTCACTAATCACAATTAAAAGAACCAAAGACTTAAACTACTTCAGTCTGTGTGCATTGAATTTATTTAATACACGAGTTTCACAATTTGAGTTGAATTACTGAAATAAATTAACTTTTCCACGACATTCTAATTTATTGAGATGCACTTGTATGTGCATACAACTGGCTTTCTTGGAACGTTTTTAGATTTGAACGTATGTACTGTAAGGGATGAGACGGACCGCGTGATGACGGAATTACGTTCTGACGTAAAGGAACAGCTGAATCGTTTGTTGAACCGGTTCTTTGAAACGAGTTGTTCAGAAGAACCGTTTCGCGGAAATGAGTCGGACTTCCCATCACTAACACCTCACAGAGCTCTCATTGATCTCTCCAGCTATCTCACACTGATCCCAGGCAGTTTTTATGGTTTCGCTTCTCAGTCAGCCGTTTACTTTCGTTGTCAAACACCAGCTGGATCAGCCTTTCTGCGTGGATCGGCAAAATGTTGATTGTTGAAGTGGTTGTTGTGCGTGAGAGAACGAATCATATCGCTGAGAAGTAAAGCACACACACACTTCCCGTGTAGTCTTTTGTGTTCGGCCTACGGATCAGTGCTGTTTCATTTACCGAACATCCTCCGCTTTACCGGGTGAGTAAATACTTGTCTCTGGTATATTCACATTATTTAACGATAAAAGACCTGCTAGTGTATGTGCCAATTTAAAGAAAGGCTTTAAACTAACGCTTTGTTCATCTCTTTGGAGGTGTGGCTAGTTATATGGTTGCTAACGTTAGTTTCTGACATTATAAAAAAAGGCTGTGTTAAAAGACCTAACGTTAGTAAGCTACTTATCTAGACAACATTACCGGAATTATATTCACGCCAGCAGCATTTGTGGGCATAGGCCCGTTCGGCGTTTTTAAGTATCAAGAAATTGGATAAGGAGACCGACAAAATGACAGCCTGAGTCACCGTTCACTTTCATTATGAGCATTCATGAATTGAAAGTATATGGTGGCTGACGTTGTCAGTCTCCAACCATCTACTTAGCATCTCCTTCTTGTTTCATGGGGGAAAAATGGTTATGAAGTTTTAAATCTCAATGACAGACTTTTCATTTACAGATGAGTTAGCCCTTTAAATGCTGCCTACGTAGGCAGCTCGCTATGGTTTGAGACGCAGCCATAGAGACTCAAGTTTATTGACGTTAATGTACTGAAATGACAGCTTGCTGTTTATAAGCTTTCAGCGGCTTTGTAAATGTCAGTGACTGGCCAGTGTTCATTCATGTGTGAGTGGGTTGTTGTGTTTTAAATGGGGTTTTTGTAAAGTTGTTTGGGTTGCTAGCTGTTAGTTAGCCACTGCTAACACTGACAACTGCTGTAATCGCATATCCTAGCAAGGATATTTGTATAGCTTATGTAACGTTACTTAAATACGAACTGCCTGTTGTTTTTTTATGTAGTTATTGTACATTATTTTTAACTGAATTTACATTTAGGTTAATATCAAATTAGTCAGGTTAGTTTTTTTATATTAACTGTGGTAATTGTACTATACTGGCTACTTAGAAACTTTATGCCTTAAAGCAAAACATTGTTCAGGAGACAAGCCCTGGATATTATTGTAACTAATAATATCAGCAATAAACATTTAAATCAATAGAATAGAATATAATATTAATAAATAACATGAATATATTACATATGTTGTTATTTGAGATCAGTGACTAATATCACTGTTTAAGTGTTTTACTTTAACAAGCTACATGAAAGAATATATTAGCGGTTCCTTTGAGCATTTTATTTGCCATTTGCATGTTTCGCATTGTCATGTTTTCTGTCCACACTGATAATAATTTGATGTGTATTGTTTTTCAGGAGTGAAAACCTCCCAGGCTGTAGGATGTGTGTTGACTGCACTATTAGCTTTGCTCGTCTGCATCTGGCTCCTGATGGTCTGCAGTAGCACAATGACCGACACGTCTACCCGACCCGTACCGAGACACCTTCTAAAGTCCTTCCAATGATATGATAGTAGCCACCTGGATTGCATTCTGTGCCAGCAGGAGCCTCGTGCGGGTTCTGCGACTCACCGTAGAACAGCTGCAGTCGGTGCAGTTTTGGCCCAGCCTCTCATCCGGCAGAGCCATGGGGAACAGCTGCGTGTGCAGAGAGGACAGTGACGTGGAGGAGGGATCAGCCCCTCGCAGGCAGCTCAGGCGAGTGGAAAACTCTGTGTCTGATCCCCCAGAGGCCAGAGGCAGCCGGCCCAGGGACCCGGTTCGACCACCCCGGCGAGGTCGAGGACCGCACGAGCCACGTCGGAAAAAGCAAAACGTGGACAGTTTGGTACTGGACACACTGGCCGTCATCAGGACTCTTGTTGACAAGTGAGTGAACATTTAATGACAAGAGGATCTGCAGAGATTTGTCATTAAATCTCTGTAGGAATGAATCATGCACGTCATATCAATTTCAGTTCCCGGTTCACTCGCGCGTCAGCAATAACATCTCTCCATCTTTGGCTAAAAGCATTGGCTTGCTGTTGAACATCCATTTGCATTGTGGGTTGTTTTCCAGAATTATTGTCTACCACAGCAATGCCACACAGTCTGCAAGAGCTTTCACTTTTGAAATAAAGCAGCTTTAAATGTGCAGAGCTTATGGAGAAGCCCGGTACAGCTCTGTAATGAGCATGCCATTATTTATTTATTCATTCGTTCACACAGCACCACATTTAATCTTAATGTATTGCCCAAGACAGCAGCTTGAGGTAACAGAGAGAGCTTCATGTTTCTTTTAACATTTTGGCTGGATATCAGAGTCGCCAGTCACTCTTCCTCTTTTTTACATGTTCTTACACCTTCCCACACAGCCGGCCTACTGCTATCTAATGATGGATGTTCACTTTAGACGAGAAGTTGTTTTATGTGTACATCAGACAGATTTGGTGGCTCTGTACCCACCATCTTATTTGCGAGGCCTGCAGTATTGCCTGAATATTTGAATAGTTTATGGTCACTTTTTGAAGAGAATCTCAGATTAAAGAGAAAAAAATCTGCAGCAGCAACTTCACAAGAAAAGAAAATGTTTTTGTTTTGAAAAATACCTAAAGGGCACAAGGGGGAGTCTCAGCTTTTCTTTTCTTTTCTTTTCTTTTCTTTTCTTTTACAGTTGGAATATATTGTGGTTGGTCAACCACATCCTTTGACAGCCGTTTTTATTCTTAAACCTGAAACCCTAGTTTTGATGATATAGCTAAGAAAAAAAAATAAAAAATTTGCATGACTTTTCTTGCTCAATATTTATTTTTTAATATACTTACTCTGTCAACCAGAGGAAACATTTTATAAATATGTCTGTAATGAGCATATATATCCATAACTCTTTTTATTGAAAGATTCAATCTAATAGAATCACAACATGAATCAGCTATAATTTACTACACCCAGTTGCCATTAATAAAGTTTGAAGACAAGCAATATTGTCTTAATTACCATCCTAGAGCAAATATTTTAGCCAGTATGGGGGACTTTGAGTCAAAAAGGTTGAGAACTTTGAATTAGGGGGGTCTGTTCTGTACAGTGCAGAAAATCAGTGTGTTTCTAACTAGTACATATCCCTGTGTGACCATTACACAACAATCACAGAGCAGTCAGACACCTACGGCTGGGGGCATTAGACCTTTCTCACACACTCTCTCTTTCTCTTTTTCGACCACCCTCATAGCTATCTTTTCCTTGGCTTCGTCTGCTGTTTGAAAACATCACCAACCACTGATTTATGACTGACAAATGAACCGCAACGGTGTCACACCGCAGAATAGAGGCAAATTTATTTTCCCTGCTTAAGTGTCTCTGGTGGTGTTTTGATCGGGCCCGGCTCCCTCTAGGAGCACCTCAAGGGATTTTGCTATCGCTGCTTGGATTTACTGTTGCAGACCCAGCTTGCAAAATGGATGCATACACCCTAAAGCCAAAACGGCCCCGGTGGCGGCGGGAGTCTGCCCTCCAATAGCAATCAGTCATGTTTCACACAATCACCTATTATAGCATTAGGCTTTCATAACTAATGTCTAGAGCAGCCAAGGACTAAATAAGATGCTTACACCCTGGGTATGAGGCACACAGGTAAACATTTTCTCTTATTAGGTTGCTCTACATTTTTGCCATTAACTATTGTATTTGTTCTTTTTGTGTTTCAGTGACCAAGAGCCGCCGTACTCCATGATCACGCTGCATGAGATGGCAGAGACGGGTGAGTGAATGACACGCAAAATGCTGTAGCATTTCCATAAAGGGTTCAAATCTGCTATTGCGCTATATGCCAGTACAAGAAAGTTCTAATGCTCTTGTCATCCATGTGTGTCATCCAAGATTGTTCACATGTGGATGGTGGGATTCACAAACTTTCAAATGCTGGCATTCTGATTGGGAGGAATAATGTTTATGCAGATGCATATACACTTACTCATGTCACTACTTGTATGGCTTATATGTGATTATCTATATGGATAATGGGATTACCAAATCGCACTGCGTGTTTCAGAGTGAAGTGTGCCATTGTGTTCTTTTACATGTAAACTGCAGCTTGGTTTGCTGTAAATTCTGCACCACTCAAGCTCGTATGCATCTACTCTGAGTTTGGCTCACTCGTGACATGAATTTGAGAATATGCAATAAACCTGTTATGAGAAGCACTTATAAAGCAGCTGTTGTCAACACAAGAGAAGCTTAAGTGCTCCCTGTGGTTTTCTGCTAAAATAAAAGCTTGATGGTTTAACGTTTGAAAATTAAGAACTTAGACAACCACAGTCAGCCATGAAGACAGCCATAAATATTAGTATTATAATTTTACAGCTGTACTTTAAAATTAAATTATTAGTTTATTTTTTTCTTCAATTTCTCATTTTTATTTTATTTGAAAGTGAAATATTACAACAGTTTCTTAATTTTGTTTAGTATTTGTAAGATTTTTTGAATTCATTATTTTATAGTCATATTGAGATATAATCTCAACATTTTTGGCAAAGTTGTCCATCCCCGCAAATGAGAACAGCAAATCTGATTTTTTTTTTGTTTCCTTTCTTTTTAAATAAAATTTTTAATTGCAGTCACAATTTTTTTTAATCTTCAAAATGGCAGTTAGATTTTTTTTCTCTCTCTCAAATCGTACGGCTTACCACCTACTGGGGTGATTGGATTGCTATTCATCTCAAATGCATCTTTATGCTTGGTCTTTTCATGAACCAGTGTATGAAGTTTAAAAAACCCCTAAAATGCCTGGAGAAAATTGTCTGTTAAGATTCCCATTCTTCTCAATGCTTGAAATCTCAGACTTGGATGGTGCCATTTTTGCTTCATATAAACTCTGATTTGTTTTGAATGGATCACTTGAATCGTAAATATGACCCAAATGATCTGGAACCACAGGAGAATGACAACACTGATGGCACAACGAGAATGTGTGCAGTCACAAGCTCTTCAGCTTTATTACTTTCTCCTTGCTCCAGGCGTGTGCATGAGCTGTGACATTCATTGCTGTCTACTTCATCTACTCGAATATAAAGCTCAAAACATTCATTGTTGAGCTTTATTTAGTCAGAATGAATAGCTACTTTTGAATGTCTGTCAGAAAACAATGTAGTTATTAGCCAAGCAAACCAGCCGAACCTCGACTCTTTGGTTCCAGGCTTGTTTTTTTCCATCAGGGGAACAAGTGCAGCTTGTTGTAACCCCCTGGCTACTGATTAAGTTATTAGGATTTTAATCTAACAGCGGAAGCTGTGGAAGCTCTGTGGGTATTAGTGGCGGCTGCTTTTGAATTTTGGCTCGTGCCTTGCGGTGCCATTGTCATGCTGTCACTCAGTTCTGTTGCAGTGACTGCAACAGAAAGCTGCA